GGATGATATTCCCTTTTAACATTCTACTCTTGAAGCTAAATGTGGCCAGTTTTCCATTTTTCAGGCATAGATTACCTTGTTACAGAATCTTATCAATAACATCACCACATCTGCCTATATGGGTACATTCTTAGATTGCTTGAGCAAAGGGGTTACTGTGTGCCAGGTACTTTACACATGTGATCTCATATGATATTAAAGGAGAGTTGCTTTGTGTTTGCTAGAGAATACATTGGTTTTCCACAAATGACTGATTTCTTCTGTATACAGAGTAGAGACATAACAAACATTTGCTTAACCATATTCTATTGCATCTTTCTGAATTAACCTATGTTTTCCCTTGGATGTAGAGCAAAGAAAAATCTTTTATACTGCTGGTGATGAATGATGACATAAATTGATAAAACCAGTTTGGAGATCGAATTGGAACTCTACGTAGAAAAGATACATAGATTCTATAATGTAGAAATTTTATTTCTAGATATATACCCTGGAGAAAATTTTACATTTGCACAAGAAGACATGTAAGACACTGTTCACAGGAGTATTGTTTGCACTAATATAAAAAAATGGAAGCAATTGACTCATCAGCCAATAAGATAATGGTTGAAGAAATCATGGTATAGTTTTGCAATGGAATACTATTATAAACGTTAAAATGAATAATCTTGAGTTGAATTTATAAATGCAGATGAATCTCAAAATTATAACACTGAATGAAAAAAAAAGCAAGGTACAAAAGAATACATGTAGGATCATTCCATTTTTATAAATATAAAAAACAATAAGACCAAATATTTATATACTGTTTCCAAAAGAGTTCTACGCATTTTACATATATAAATGCTTTTTAATCCCCACAACAACACTATGAGGTAGATACTACAACTGATCCTGTATTATAGATAAGGAAAGTAAGGCCCAGAGAAGTTAAGTGACTTGGCTAAGCTCAACAGCTAGTAAGTTGAAGAGCTGAGCTGCAAACCTAGGTAGTCTTACTCCAGAGTCCACAGTCTTAACTATTGTATTACGTAAAACAGTACTATATATGCCATAGGGAAATTCACAGGTGAGGTAAAAGAAAAGGAAAGTCATAATAGGGGAGGAAGACCCAAATATGAAGATAATCAGAAGGATAAACACACAAAGCTTCCCTCAGCCGCTGCCTTCCTACATGTACAACACATCAGACTGTTGGTGGAAGACATGCTATGATGAGATATTAATTATTTCTCAGGTTCTTTTCAATTTTTTTGAAATTATAATATATACTCTGAAAAGTACACCACACAAATGTCAAATTTGTACAAACTGAACACACTCATGTCAATGAGCACCCAGATGAAAAAACAAAATGTTACCAGTTTCCTTGAAGAATTCCTTGTTATCCGTTGTGGTTTTATTTATTTATTTATTTTCAGTATCAACTCCACTCTGGGGTAACCACTCTGGCTTCTAACACCATCAGTTAGTTTTGCTCTTTACGAAATGGACCCTAATAGAAAATAATTTTCTGTGATAGATTTTTTTTACTTGACCTTAAATTTGTCAGATTCACCCATCGTATGGTATACAACAGCTCTAGTTGGTCTGTCCTCATTGCTGTGGAGTAACAAAAATATACCACACTGTATTTACATAGGCCTTATTGATCTCTTTTTTTTTAATCCTTCCATATCAGCCCTAAAAAGTTGGGATCAGAGTACAGTGTAGGAGAAAGAGCACAGACTCTGGAGGAACAAAAATCTACTTGAAGCTAGCGTCTGTTGATAACTATGTGTCCTTGGACAAGTTATTTGACCATTACGGGTCTTGATTTCCTCATCTGTAGCATGTGGATAATAAAACTAACTGAGATGGCATAGAGCAAGTACCTATTAGATGACAGTTATTATTATAAGGATTATAAAATCTTTCTTGCTTGCTTGAAAATCACTTATGAATTACTGTCATGTAGCACCCTGACTACTGGATTCTACCTGCTAATGAATTCTGGTAGCCATGAAGACCCAATCACGTGCGAAAATCTGAAATTCAAATTCTTTGAAGCTGTTGATGGGTGATTTGCTGCTGTTTCCTCCTCCTGTCTCCCAGGGCAAACACTGACCAAAACTAATAGCTTTGGCTCATCTACCCTTACTTTTAGTACTTTCTCAGTCTAATCTACCTCCAAAACAGTCCTCCCTCTTAAAGTTCTTTCTGTGAACTCTGTTTATGGAGAAGAAACAATAAGACTGACATCCCCATGCCCTGCTGTCACTGTCCTATTGCCCAGCAATTGTTGGGTGAGAACACACTATATCAGAGCTACCACACCAGCTCCCACTCTCTAAGAAGTGGGTTAAATGCACACTCAGATGTCTTAGTCAGACTATTTGGCCTTGGTCTCACAAGAAACCACAAAAAGGCTCAATTCAGTGGCTGTTCCTCTCTGGCAAGGGCATTCTTGAAAAAGAACTGAAAACATCATACTGTGGGCAACTCTGACAAGACCCAAAAAATATGAATCAAAGGGTACAAATACTCTCCCTGTCATGTGTCTAGAGGAGATGACTGAGTCTTTATTTTGCCATCTTTAGTGGACAGTCCAGCATTCTACACTGAAGGATGAAAGACGCATTATGAACAGAGCTGGACTAAGCCTCGTTTGTCCTCCCTCGATCTTGGGTCAAGGGCGGGGGAGGGGGAGGAAACTGAATGGTGATGGGAAAGGGAATAGTAGAAAGAAGGGTTCTGCTAATCGAGTGATAGCTAAAGTGTGCGCGTGGGGATGGACTCGCAAACTTTGCATGTGTTGAAACTGGAGGGATAGAAGAAGTAAACCGAACAGAAATCTAGAGTAGGTGGACAAAGAACTCTAAGCCTGGCAGACAAGAAATTCAGAAAAAAGGGTAAAGTAGGCAATTATCTTTGATCTACCCTAAGCACCAGAAATTAACACTTATATTAACCCAACAGAAGATATGTCAAATACTCACAGCTAAGAAACTGTGGTTCAAATCCTGGATTTACCACTGGCTTTTCCCACTATCAAATGAGTCTAAAAATAACCACCAGGAAGATTACATTAAGGTTCCAAACTAGAATAGCACCATTACCAACCCCAACAGTGAAAAGTGAAGGTGTGGCTGACAGGATTTGAAGGCTGAGAAGAGAGAAAAAGAGACAGAAGTGCTAATACCTTCATCTTACAAAGCTATATTCAAAAGTTGATGGAGATAAATATAAGAGTTAAATATCTTATTTAAAGTAACAAAAGTAACCAATAGAAGAAGTAAAATGTTATAATAATTACCAAAAAGTGGAAGGGGAGGGAAAATTGGAAGGAAGAGGGAAGTGTGAGCAATGATCTCCTATATACATACCATGAAGAACGAAAACTTTTCTAAACTAAAATCAAAAAATAGCAATATAAGCATATTTTTTATAATA